CCTTTTGGGACATGATGAATCTGCTGAAAAAATGTTGTACTCCACACAACCTGGAATTGCAGGAAGTTGAACTCCTCCTAAGAAAAAAAAAAAACAGAAATTACAAAAGCCCCTGAATGCACAGACCCAAATAATGAATTTAAATACTCCCTGTGTTCAGTGTTGTTTTCCTCACAGTATCTTCAAAGCCTCTCTTGCATTAGAAGCCCAAAAGCACCTGCAGAGAACAAGCTGAGATGAGCTGAAAGAGCCTCTTCACCAAAAGGAGAGGAGAGCACTTACCCCAGCAGATTCCAAAGTGGGAATGAAGCCCCTTGGCAAAGGCTGGAGTTAATATACCCCTGATTGGGCCTGCTTCTCCTTCCCACCACACCCAGGAAAAGGGAGGGGGCAAACCCCACCGAGTGTACAAGCCCTCAGAGCAGCTCCAGCTGTTTTGAATTCAGAGAGAATAAAGGGCTTAATATAGAAGAAAACTCTTCAGGGAAATGACAGCACTTTGTTTTTTGCTACAACTACTTGGAGCAAAAGGGCAAGAAAGCTGTAAGAAATAAAACTTTGTTTTTAGGCAGCATATCTAGATAAATTGGGTAATTTGCTGTTAACTTATATTATTCCTCAGTGACTACTAAGTAGTACTCAACATGAGACTAAGGGTGGAAGAAAATACTAATTATACAAACAGTCTAAGTCTCCTTGGCGCTACTAATTAGGACTAACTACATTATAAATAAAAATAAGGAAAAAAAAATAGCCTCCTGGGCAGCATCAAGGTTAAGTACATGCTAGGCTTGCCTTTCCCTGAGATATTTAGTCCTAGGGCACAGAAAGAAGTGCCCTGAAAGGTAGTTTTAAACCCTTAAAATGCTGAAAAAGCATTCTAGAAGAGCCTCCTTCAAGTGAATCCCTTAAAATGAGGAAATGGGGAAGTTACCCCCACTGAAATAGATACAATGGCAAATAAATGGCTCCTGCCCTTTAGTTTAATCCCCTAGAATATTGGGAAAAGAGAACTTTTCCTCACTTTAAGTCTCTCCAGTGATGAAGACAGAGGGATCTTCCCCTCAATCCAAACCCTTAAGAAAGAGGGATAGCTGGGCTTCCCCCTCAATTTAAGCCTTAGGACAACAACAAAGGTTACCCTTAATTCAAACCCATAAAAACCATTGTCAAGGTTTTCCCCTTCTATTTAAACTGGAAAATATTGGGAAATGGGGGTTCCCTGTCAATTAACACCCCAACAGCATAGAAAAGGCAGGGATTCTTTTAACTGAGACCTCGGAGGGGGTGTGGGAGGTCTGAGGGGGCTCGAAGGGGCTCTGAGGGGCTCTGAGGGGGTGTGGGAGGTCTGAGGGGCTCGGAGGGGGCTCGGAGGAGGCTCTGAGGGGGCTCTGAGGGGCTCGGAGGGGGTGTGGGAGGTCTGAGGGGCTCGAAGGGGCTCTGAGGGGGCTCTGAGGGGGTGTGGGAGGTCTGAGGGGCTCGGAGGGGGCTCGGAGGAGGCTCTGAGGGGCTCTGAGGGGGCTCGGAGGGGGTGTGGGAGGTCTGAGGGGCTCTGAGCGGGCTCTGACAGGGTGTGGGAGGTCTGAGAAGCTCGGAGGGGGCTCTGAGGGGGCTCTGAGGGGCTCTGAGCAGGCTCTGAGGGGGTGTGGGAGGTCTGAGGGGCTCGGAGGGGGCTCTGAGGGGGTGTGGGAGGTCTGAGGGGCTCTGAGGGGGCTCGGAGGGGGTGTGGGAGGTCTGAGGGGGCTCGAAGGGGCTCTGAGGGCTCTGACGGAGTGTGGGAGGTCTGAGGGGCTCTGAGCAGGCTCTGAGGGGGTGTGGGAGGTCTGAGGGGCTCGGAGGGGGCTCGAAGGGGCTCTGAGGAGGTTCGGTGGTCTGAGGGGCTCTGAGGGGGTGTGGGAGGTCTGAGGGGCTCTGAGGGGGCTCTGAGGGGGCTCTAAGGGGCTCTGAGGGGGTGTGGGAGGTCTGAGGGGCTCTGAGGGGCTCGGAGGGGCTCGGAGGGGGCTCGGAGGGGTTCTGAGGGGCTCTGAGGGGGCTCGGAGGGGGTGTGGGAGGTCTGAGGGGCTCTGAGCGGGCTCTGACGGGGTGTGGGAGGTCTGAGAAGCTCGGAGGGGGCTCTGAGGGGGCTCTGAGGGGCTCTGAGCAGGCTCTGAGGGGGTGTGGGAGGTCTGAGGGGCTCTGAGGGGGCTCTGAGGGGGTGTGGGAGGTCTGAGGGGCTCGGAGGGGGCTCTGAGGGCCTCTGAGCAGGCTCTGAGGGGTGTGGGAGGTCTGAGGGGCTCTGAGGGGGCTCGGAGGGGGTGTGGGAGGTCTGAGTGGGCTCGAAGGGGCTCTGAGGGGCTCTGACGGGCTCTGACGGGGTGTGGGAGGTCTGAGGGGCTCTGAGCAGGCTCTGAGGGGGTGTGGGAGGTCTGAGGGGCTCGGAGGGGGCTCGAAGGGGCTCTGAGGGGCTCTGAGGAGGTTCGGTGGTCTGAGGGGCTCTGAGGGGGTGTGGGAGGTCTGAGGGGCTCTGAGGGGCTCGGAGGGGGCTCTGAGGGGGTGTGGGAGGTCTGAGGGGCTCTGAGGGGCTCGGAGGGGGCTCGGAGGGGTTCTGAGGGGGTGTGGGAGGTCTGAGGGCTCTGAGGGGGCTCTGATGGGGCTCGCCGTGGGCGGGGCCTCGGGAGCCGCCACTCTCTATTGGCCGTTTATCGTTTCCCGCCGTTGGAACCACCCTCCCGGAGAGCTGTCAATCACGCCCGCCCCTCCTTTTCATTGGCTCCCGTCTGTTGTCGTTCCTGCCCCCGCCTTCCACGTGCAGGTCCCCCGTACGCTCCACCCCTTAGGGCGGCAGCAGCGAATCAGAGCGCGGCTGGGGCGTGGCCTCAGCGACTTTTCCCGGCCATCTATTGGCTGCCGCATGTGAGCGGGGCGAGCTCGCGTGTCATGTGAGGGCGCGGTCACGTGGGCGCGGGTGTCATGGCGCTGCCCGGGGCGGTGGCGCTGCCGCTGCTGCTGCTGCTCCTGAGCGGGGCCGCGGGCTGCGGGCACCAGGTGGGACGGGGAGCCTCGGACAGACGGGCTGGGGGCACTGGGATTGCCCGGGGACTGGGGAGCTGGGTAACGGGAGCTGCCATAGGCTGGGACACCGGGAAGGGCTGAGGGGGGCACCGGAGCGGTCTGAGGGAACGGGAACTGGAAGAACTGGGGGCGCTGGGATGGGCTGGGGACGCTGAAGAAACGGGAACTGACGGGCATTGGTTTTGCAACCGCTTCCGGAGTTCAACGGCCACGCCGGGGCGGCGGCGGGGAGGGATCCCGGGGGGTTCCGAGGGATCCCGGGGGGTGCCGCGGGCCCAGCCCGGTCCGAGCCCCCCTGAACCCCCCAGTCGTGTTCCCCGACCCGGCCGGACATGCTGAACGTGCACCTGGTGCCGCACTCGCACGACGACGTGGGCTGGCTCAAGACGGTGGACCAGTACTACTATGGAGGTGCGTGTGGACACCGGGGGGAGGGGGCGTCCCCAGGGCTGCTGTGCGGGTGGGGGTGGTGTCACCTGAGGGAGGGACAGCTGCGGGGGGAAGTGGGCGGCTGACGTGGCAAGGGGACACTGAGCGACCCCAATGGCCCCTGTGGCCGCCCTTTGTCACCCTGGCTGACGTGGCACTTTGTGCGTGTCCCCGCTGTCCCCTCTGGGGGCCAGCACCCCCAGATCCCACCCCCGGGGATGTCCCCTGTCCCCAAGATGCCACCGTGTCCCCAGTCCCGAGTGTTACCACAGCGCAGGCCACGGTTTTGGGGTGATCTGGTGCCCCCTGTGCCCCCCCAGTGCGGAACCGGGACCAGCACGCGGGGGTCCAGTACATCCTGGACTCGGTGGTGGCCCAGCTGGCCACCAACCCCTCACGGCGCTTCGTCTACGCCGAAGTGGCATTCCTGGCGCGCTGGTGGCGGCAGCAGGACCAGGCCACGCGCAGGCTGGTCAGGGAGCTGGTGCAGGAGGGTACGGGGCACTGGGAGGGACATGGGGGGCACTGGGAGGGACATTGGGGCACTGGGAAAGACTGGGGGGCACTGGGAGGGACTGAAGGGCACTGAAAGGGTATGGGTGACACTGGGAGAGACTGGGAGGCACTAAAAGGGACATGGGTGACACTGGGAGGGACTGAAGGGCACTGAAAGGGGCATGGGTGACACTGGGAGAGACTGGGAGGCACTAAAACGGACGTGGGTGACCGTGGGGGGGGATCACTGGGACCCTGGGCTGGGGTCTGGGCTCTCCGTGACCATGTGGTGCTCATGCCATTGTGGGTGGTGGGGCGCAGCCAAGCCTGGGTGTCCCCTGAGGGGATTTGGGGGCCGTGTGCCCCTCTCTCCCCGCCTAGGCCGGCTGGAGCTAGTGGGGGGAGGCTGGTGCATGAGCGACGAGGCGGCGGCGCACTACGGGGCGGCCCTGGAGCAGATGGCCCTGGGCCGGCGCTTCCTGCGCCGCCTCTTCGGGGCCTGCGGCATGCCACGCGTGGCCTGGCAGATCGACCCCTTCGGCCACGCCCGCGAGCTGGCCGCCACCTTCGCCCAGGTGGGGCAGCCCTGGGACCCTGCCCTGGCACCCACGGAGCGTCCCTAGGACCCCCAAACCTCCCTGGAGCCTCCCCTGCATCCCCAAATCACCCTTGGGATCCCCAGACCTTCCCCTGCACCCCAAAACCTTCCCTGGCACTCCCAACCTTCTCAGCACCGCCAAACTCCCCTTTGGCATTCCCAACAACGCCCCCATGACCCCCATGTCCCCCAGATGGGCTACGATGGGCTCTTCGTGGGCCGTGTGGACCACCAGGACAAGTGGGTGCGGCTGCAGCGCCGGGAGCTGGAGCTGCTCTGGAGGGGCAGCACGAGCCTGGCCCCCCCCATGCCGACATCTTCACCGGTGACCCCCAAACTGCCCCCTGTCCCCCTGCAGTGACCCCTGAACTGCTCCTATCCCCCTTCCTCCTGTCCCCTCCCATCCCTTCCCAAGGCTTTGTCCCATGTCCCCTCCCAGGGCTGACCCCAGCCCCTCCCAACTTGTCCCCATCCACGTCATCTCAGTGTTCCCAACCCCTCCTGTCCCCATCCATGCCACCCCCAGTGTCCCCATCTTGTCCCCAGGGGTGTCCCTATGGTGTCCCCAGGTGTGTCCCCAACCCCTCCCTCCTGTCCCCCTTTGCCCATCCCAGCCATGTCCCCTGTCCCCCGTGGTCCTGCTGGCAAGGGAGGTGACAGTGCTGTCCCCAGGGATCCTACCCAACGTGTACAACCCCCCCGCGGGGCTGTGCTGGGACCAGCTCTGCACCGACCCCCCTGTGGTGGACGGCGACGGCCCCGAGCGCAACGTGGACACCGTGGTCACCTCCTTCCTGGAGGCGGCGGCCACCCAGGTCCTGCCGGGGGGACGGGGGGCCGGGATCCCCGAGGGCGGGGTACCCAAAGATCCCTGTCCCCTGGGATGGGTGTTGTGGGTGTCCCTGTCCCCCTGGGGTGGGATCCCCAGGGGTCCTTGGCTGTCCCCGTGCCCCGGGCAGGGGTCCCGAGCCGTGTCCCCCTCCCCAGGCCCGGCAGTACCGCACCAACCACATCCTGATGACCATGGGCTCCGACTTCCACTATGAGAATGCCCACCTATGGTTCAAGAATCTGGACAAGCTCATCGCCCACGCCAACGCCCGGGTGAGGGGCTGTCCCCAAAACACCCCCTGGTGTCCCCAAGCCCCCCCGGGCCGTCCCTGACCCCCTCTCTGTCCCCAGCAAGCCAACGGCAGCCGTGTCCATGCCCTGTACTCCACCCCCTCCTGTTACCTGTGGGAGCTGCACCGGGCCAACCTCACCTGGTGAGGGGAGGGGCCGAGGGGCAGGCGGGACAGACAGATGGACAGACAGACAGCTAGGGTGTCCCCCAGGCCCCTGAAGACGGACGATTTCTTCCCCTACTCGGATGGGCCCCACCAGTTCTGGACCGGCTTCTTCAGCAGCCGCCCGGCCTTCAAGGGCTACGAGCGGCTCAGCAGCGGCTTCCTGCAGGTGGGGGGCACCTGGAGACCCCTCCAGGTCTTGGGGGCCCCCCTCTCGGGCAGCGGGGACCCCCCCTCAGACATGGATTCTGACCCCCAGATCTGCAGCCAGCTGGAAGCTCTGGCCGGGCCCTCGGCACGGGACGGTCCCTACGGCCCTGGGGATAGCTCCGTGCTCCGTGAGTATCTTGGGGGATACCTGGAGGGGACCTGGGGACCCCCAAACCCCCCACACCCACTTTTGCCCGCCCCAAGGTGAGGCCGTGGCCGTGGCCCAGCACCACGACGCCGTGGCCGGCACCGAGAGGCAGCACGTGGCCGACGACTACGCCCGGCAGCTGGCCAAGGGCTGGGACAGCTGCCAGGTGAGCCCCACCGCTGCCCGGGGGTCCAGGTGGGGTTTGGGGGACAAGGGCGGGGCTGGGGGTGACCCAGCGACCCTCCCCAAATTGTGGCCACCCCTGGCAGGTGCTGGTGGCCAATGCCCTGTCCATTCTGGGGGGCACCAAGGAGCCCTTCATCTTCTGCAACGCCCTCAACATCAGCGTGTGCCCCCTCAGCGAGACCACCCCTCACGTGAGCACCTGGTCCGGAGCTTTTGGGGGGTGCTCCGGGGGTCCCTAGGGACTGAAACCCCCCTTCACTGTGTGACCCCTCTCCAGTTCACTGTGATCCTCTACAACCCCCTGGCCTGGGGCGTGACCTGGCCTGTGCGCCTGCCGGTCAGGGCCACCTCCTATGCCGTGACCGACCCTCAGGGCCAGCCCGTGGCCAGCCAGGTGAGCCTGGGCTCCCCTCGCCCACCTGGACCCACCGACCCCCCCCCCCGTGACCCCTGGCACCCCCTCACCTGCCCCCTCACCCCCCCCCAGGTGGTCCCGGTATCCGGCGTGACCCGGTGGCTGCGGGGCGACACCGGGGGGGCCCCAGGGGAGCTCCTGTTCCAGGCCTGGGCCCCCCCCTTGGGGTTCAGCACCTTTGAGGTGAAGCAGCTGAGCCCGGGGGCCCCCTGGGACCCCCCCAGGTGGCCCTCAGGGGACCCAGAGCCAAAGCTCGAGAACGAGGTGAGGGGACATCGCGGAGGGACGTGGATCTGGGGGTTGGCTGGGCAGGGCAGGGCGAGTCCCAGCTCCCAGTTAAAGCAGCTGGGGGTGACTGGGTGGCCGGGGGAGGCGGGGGGAGCGACCTACCTGTGTCCCCCCCACCCCAGCACCTGCGGATCCGGTTCGACCCCATCACGGGGCACCTGCTGGAGATCCAGAACCTGGCCAAGGGCTTCTCGCTGCCCGTCTTCCAGAGCTTTTACTGGTGAGTCTGGGGACACCCCCGGTGGATTCTGGGGGCGGTCCCCAGCTGGGGGGATCCCCCTAAGCTCCCCTGGCCCCCCCAGGTACAACGCCAGCGCCGGGGACGGGTTGAGCCCCCAGGCCTCGGGCGCTTACATCTTCCGGCCCAACGCGTCCACACCCATCCCTGTGGCCAAACGCGCGGCCACGCGCCTGCTCAAGGTGGGCGGGGTCCCGGGGGTGTCCCCCTTTGGATTTGGGGGGGTCTCCAGATGTCACCGAGTGTCTCTGTGTGCCTCCAGACGGCACTGGTGCAGGAACTGCACCAGAACTTCTCAGCGTGGTGCTCGCAGGTGCTGCGGCTGCGCCCGGGGCAGCCCTACCTGGAGCTGGAGTGGACTGTGGGGCCCATCCCCGTGGCGTGAGTCCAGGCAGGGGTCTCGGGACTTCCAGACCTCCCCTGGAGACCCCCTGGTGACCCTCCTGTCCCCCCTCCCCAGGGACGGGCTGGGCAAGGAGGTCATCAGCCGCTTTGAGACCCCGCTGCGCACAGCCGGGCGCTTCTACACGGACTCCAACGGGCGCCAGGTGCTGGAGCGCAGGTTAGGGGGCTCTGGTGACCCCCGAGACCCCCTCAGGGGCTCCACGGGACCCCTGTGACCCCCCCCCCGGCTCCCCCCCAGGCGTGACTTCCGCCCCACCTGGAACCTGAGCCAGAGCGAGCCCGTGGCAGGGAATTACTACCCCGTGAACACCCGGATCTTCATCAAGGTACCGGGGCTGGGCAGGGCACAGCTGGGCACAGCTGGGGGCTGGGCAGGGCCCACCTGGGCACAGCTGGGGCTGGGCAGGGCACACCTGGGCACAGCTGGGGCTGGGAAGGGCACCCCTGGGGCTGGGCAGGGAACACCTGGGCCCTGCCCCGCCCTCCTCACACCTGTCCCACGTGGGCAGGACGAGAAGGTGCAGCTGACGGTGCTGACGGATCGCTCCCAGGGCGGCAGCAGCATCCTGGACGGGTCCCTGGAGCTCATGGTGAGCCAGGCACACTTGGGGGAGGTGACCCTGAGGGAGGGGACACCTGTGGCATCACCCGTGTCCCCTCCAGGTGCACCGGCGGCTCCTGAAGGATGACAACCGGGGGCTTGGGGAGCCGCTGGATGAGCCAGGGGCCGACGGGCGGGGCCTGGTGGTGCGGGGCCGGCACCTGGTGCTGCTGGACACCGCGGCGGCCGCGGCTGACCAGCACCGGCCACGGGCACAGGAGATGGTGACATCACCGTCCATGGTGCTGGCACCCGGCCCGGGGCCTCACCTGCGCTGGGTGAGCGGGGAGGGGGCATGGGCTCATCCGTGCCAGGTGAGCGCTCTCCCCGCTCACCTGCCTGCCCCTCCGCTCACCTGCCTGTCCCTCCGCGCAGTTCTCGGGGCTGCAGCGGGCGCTGCCCCCCAGCCTGCACCTGCTGACAGTGGAGCCGCGCGGCGCCAGGGCCGTCCTGCTGCGCCTCGAGCACCTGTTCGAGCTTGGCGAGAGCCGCAACGGCTCCCGGCCTCTTAGCGTGGACCTGACGGTCAGCAGGGGGGTCCTGCCAGGGAATGGGGGTCTCAGGGGCACTGACAGGGAGGGGGTGAGGCTTTGGCGTCACCTGTGACAGGTGGGAGTGGGTATGGGGTCACCTGTGCCAGGTGACCGTTTCGGGGGTCCTGAGGCTGCTCCAGGGGATCCGGGACAGCTCCCAGGGTGCCACTCCTCCGCTCGGCCTCCTGCAGCCCCCGGGGTGGGCTTGGGGAGGGTCTGGGGGGGTCTCTACCTGCTCCCCCCAGCCTGGGCTGGGATTTGGGGTGGCTCTTGGTGGGGGGGAGTGTCTCTGACAGCCCCCTCCACCCCCCCCAGACTCTTTTCTCGGCCTTCACCATCACCTCAGTGCAGGAGATGGCCCTGGGGGGGGACATCCCCCTGCACAGCGTGTCCCGCCTGCTCTGGAACACAGCCACAGGTACCGGGGGCTCTGGGGGGAGGGGGTCTCAGCCCTCAGAGCCCCCCACAGCCCTCCTTATCCCCCCAGGCACCCCCAAACCCCGGCCACTGGCCCGGCTGGACCCGCGGCGCGTGACGCTGGAGCCAATGCAGATACGCACCTTCCTGGCCTCCGTGCGCTACGAGGGGCTCGGGGAGGGGCTGGGGGGGCCCTGAGCCGCCCCCTGCCCAAAGAAAGTCCATTAAAACTCCAGCCAATTTTGGTCAGACGTCCTTTAATTGGGAGCAGCCAGGGCGGGCTCGTGGGAGTAGCAGCATTTCTCACCTTGGGGACAGGTGCCCTGTTTTGGGGGGGGGGGGACAATAAGGGGGGGCTGGAACCTGCCCCAAAACGCCCCCTCTGTGTTCACAGACTCCCCGCTTCTTATTCCTGGACAGCCCCCCAAATTCCCAGATCCTCCTCCCCGTATTTCCAGGCACCCCCTCTTTATTCCAAACCCCTGCCCCCCTTTTATTTTCTCAAAGCCTTTCTCTTTTTATTTCCTGGACCCCCCCTCTATTCCCACACTCCCCCTGCATATTTTAGGGATTCCCTCTTTACTTTGAGGACCCCTCCCCGCCATATTTTGGGGCCCCCTCCCCACCTCCTTGAAGCGTTTGCAGGGGAATTGTTTCAGCCCAGCCCCATCCGGCCGCTGCGTCCGCTTGTTCTGGAGCCGCTCCCGCTTCTCCTGCAGGGAGGGGGCGATGCCCCCCCTGGAAAGGCCCAGAGTGAGCTGGGGACCATCCCCCCAAAAAGGGGAGAGGGTGAGGGGCCCCTCCCCCAGAAAGGATGGAGCTAAGGCTTCACCCCTTCACCTTTTTTAGGTGGGTTTATGCCCCACCTCGAGTGAAAAAAGGGGAGAATGTCCCCCTTGAGAAGGGTGGGGAGCACCTGGACTCCCAAAGCAGCCCCCCCAGGCCTCACCCTGGCTTGGCCCTGGCCTTCGGACCCCAAAAAGCTTCGGGGTTCTCTGGGAATCGCTTCAAGCCGCGCTTCCGGGAGCTGGGGTTGGCATCCTCGTGGAGGGCGAAGGAAGCCTGGAGCCTGGGATGGGGGGTAAAGGGGAGGGGAGGGGGGGTCAGGGATTTTGGGGGGATCTGGGGTCCCCCCCAAACCCCACTTCACGCTGGGGGTCCTACGTGGGCTCCACCGCGAGGATCCGGGCGGCTGGGCTGGAGTCTGGGAGCCGCTCCCACTTCACCGGGTGGAGCTTGGCCTGGGAAAAAGTGGGGAAAATTGGGAAAAAGGGGGGAAAAAGTAGGGAAAGGGAGGTAGGAAAATGGGGTTCAGCCCCCTCAAGCGTGGGGAGGCATCCCCAAGCCCCCTCCTCACCCAGCAGCGCATGATGTCCCAGAGCACAGCCGGCGGCGCGTCCGTCTTGACGGCGTTGCGGCAGGCGTGGGACAGCGAGACCCGGAACCCCGCATGCAGCAGGGCCGACCTGGGGGAACAGAGGGGTTTGGGGGGGCCAGGACCGGGTCTGAGGGGGTCTTTGAGGGGGTTTGGGAGGGCCAGGATGGGGTTGGGGGTTCCCTGAAGGGATTCGGGGGGGCCAGGATGGGGTTTAGGGGCTGCCTAAAGGGATTTGGGGTCCCCAAGGGGGTTTGCAGGGAGTCACTGAAAGGGTCTGGGGGGTCCCTGAGGGAATTTGAGGGTCCTTGAAGGGGTTTGGGGGACCCAGGACAGGGTCTGCAGTTCCCCTAAAGGGGTTCGAGGGTCCCTGAGGGGATTTAGGTGGTCCCTAAAGAGGTTTGGGAGTCCCTGAGGGGCTTTGGGGGTCCCTACCTGAGCTGCAACAGGGAAGGCGTGTTGCTGCGGATGGTGCTGCTCAGCCCGTCCAGGGTGTAGTAGAGGGGGACATCGCTCAGCTCCTGTCCCAAAAGCAGCCCCACAGTCACAGCCAGCCCCACAGCTGGGGTGTCCCCACAATTGGGGTGTCCCGTGTCACCTCGGCGATGACGCTCAGCATCCCCCGCATGCGCGGCTCCGTCGAGAAGCGCCCGGGGCTTCGCTCCAGTGCCGCCAACACCCCCTTCACGAAGGCAGGGTCATGCAGGGGCTCAGCCCACACCGGGCCCCCCACCTTTAGAAGGAGAAAAAAGGGGGTTCAGGGCCCCATTTGGGGGTGCTGAGGTGTGGGGGGGCTGGGGGGCCGTACGCACCTGGTGGCGCTGCTGGCAGAACTCGCAGGTGGGACCCACGGGCGGCCCTGTGGCTGCGCTGTACTTGAAGCTGGAGAAGGGGGAGACGTGGTCACAGGCCCCCCCCCCCCAAAAAGGATCATGGGGACCCCCACAAGGGTCTCGAGGAGCCCCAAAATCGCTCGGGGGGCAGGGGGAGGGGGGGGCCATACCCGCTGCCGTGGCTCGTGGCTCTGCCCAGGCGCTGCAGGTGGTGTGAGCCGCACCCCATACAGTGGAACACCAGCGCCTGCTTGCTGTGGGGAAACGGGGTCAGAGCGGCTCTGGGGGGGCACAGGGACCCCCCAAAACACCCCAGGGGGACCCCTCCTCACCTGGCCGAAGCCTTGACCTTGGCCTGGCCCGTGAAGACCCTGACGAAGACGCGCACGTAGAAGTCGGCGCTGACCGACAGCAGCGGCACCACGAAGCGCTGGTAGCAGTTGGCACGGAGGTCAAGGCTGTGCAGGATGATCCGCAGGGCCTGGCAGGGGACAGAGGGGACAGGGGACGTGGGACACCCCCTGGAGCCTCCCCCCGGGACAGGGGACCCCCCCAGCACTGACCATCTCGTGGCAGAATTTGCCCTTGAGGGACACGGCGCCGTACTTGCTGTAGCAGGTCTCGGCGCTGTTGCCGGCCATCACCGCCATGTCCGTGCAGGTCACGCACAGCAGCCCTGGCAAATCCGGGTTCAGGGGGGCCTGGGAGGGTTTGGGGGTACCCAAGAGCCCCCCAGACTCACCCCCCTCGCTCACGGCCTGCACGGCCGCGTCCAGGAAGGGCGCGGGGCTCCCGTAGGGGTCCAGATCGATGACGTCGAATGGTTCCCGCTGGGCTTTCCTTTGGTACATCAACATCCTGGGGGGGACACGAGGGATCCCCACAGCCCTTCTAGACCCTCAGCACCCCTTTGGGGTTCCCCCAGGACACCCCTAGCCTTGGTGACCTCCTCAGTGTGGTCCCAGCTTGTGGGGCAGGGCAGTCCCTGACGCCGCTTGGGAACATCGGGATCGGTTCCTGGGGGCAAAAGGGTTGTGGGGACCCCCCCCAGAGACCCCAAACTGGGGCAGGTGTTGGGGTGCCCATGGGGACACTTTGGGGACACCTCCCAGCACAGCCCCAAAGCCCCGGGCAGCACTGGGGGCTCAGCCCTGTTCCCAGCAGGGTTTGGGGTCACCGGGCGTGGTCCCAATTTGGGTTTGGGGTCACTGGTGAGATCCCAATTTGGGTTTGGGGTCCCCTAGGGTGATCCCAATTTGGGTTTGGGGTCACTGGTGAGATCCCAATTTGGGTTTGAGGTCCCCTAGGGTGATCCCAATGGGGTTGGGGTCACCTGGAATAATCCCAATCTGGGTTTGGGGTCCCTGTGTGACCCCGGGGGGCTTTGGGCTCACCTGGCATCAGCCAGCCGGGGCGTGACCAGCCCCCCGACGCCGTTGCGGGCCACGTTTCGGGCCATCAGCTCCACTGCCCGTGGGGAGCAGTCGCTGGCCACCACAGCCCCGAGCCCCGGCACCTCCCGGGCGAAGCGCACCGAGCGCAGCCCCGAGGCCGCCAGCGCCTCCAGCACCCGCAGCCCCCCCTGGGAGGGGCACAGGGGGGAGTCAGGGAACCCCAAAACCCCGCCGGAGGGTCAGGGGGTGCCCGGGATTCCCCCCAAATCTCCCAGACCCTTCCCCCACCTCGCAGGGCTCTCCTGGCCGCGCCGTCCGCGGGGTCTCGGGGGCTGTTGGGGGGTCCCCGGCCTCGGGGGGGCTTTGGGGGCTCTCCCCCAGCTCCTCCTCGCCTGGAAGGATGACTGGAAAAGAGGGGGGGGTGAGGGACCCCCAAAAAGGGGTCTGGGGGCAGATGGGGACCCCCACAAAGCTGCCGTACCCTGAATTCCTTTGGGGCGCAGCTGGAGCCGAGCGAATTCCGTCAGGACAGCACAGCTGGGGAGGGGGAAGGGGGGGTCAGGGATACCCCGGGGGGGGAGGTGACACCCCAAAACCCCCTCCAGGGCAGCCCTGAACCCCCAAACCACCCCAGGACCTGCCGGGACCCTCCCCAGAGCTCCCCAACCCCCCCCCAGGACCCCCCAGCACCTCCCAAGCCCCCCCAGGATCCTCCAGAGGCCCCCCAGGACCCCCCAGCGCCCCCAGGACCCTCCCAGCGCCTCCCAAGCCCCCTCAGAGCCCCCCCCAGGACCCCCAGCCCCCCCCAAGCGTCGCCAGGCCCCTCCGCAGCCCCCCGGCTCACGTGAGGTCGCGGTTGAAGCCCTGCACGGGGTTGTAAAACACCTCGTTGGCGCTGGGGAACACGATGGTGGCCCGGCCCTCGGTGATCAGCGTCTCGCCGCTACCGGGGGCGCCCTCCTCGCTTTGGGGGGGTCCCGCCGAGCCCTCCTGGGCCGCCCCCGAGCTCGGCGGCGTCGCCAAGCCGTTGGGGGAAGCGCCGTCCATGGTGGGGGGCACCGGGGGGCGTCTGCAGAGAGTGCTGAGCGCGGCGGCTGTTCGGGAGGGGGGGTCACGGGAAGGGTACGGCAGCACCGCAGCGGTTTTGGGGGGAAAACGGCGGAATTTGAGTCGGCCCCGGAGGGCGGGAAAAGGGGAGGCGACCCCCCGGAAAAGGGGAGGAAGAAGCGGGGAACGGGTGGGGGGGGGAGCTCTACCTTTTGTCACGGGGGTTCCGTGTCCTCTCCCCTCCCCCCCAAAACGGGACCGTTGCACCGCCCCCCCCCCCAGCACGTGGCGCGGGGCAGGGCAGGGGGGGCTCAACCCGCCCCTGCTGGTGCCGTCCCGGGGTGTCCTTCCGTGTCCCCCGGTGCTGTCCATGTCCCCTCTGTCCCCCCCGTTCCTCACCCGCGCGCGCCGCCCCGCGCATCCCCCGCGCCGCCCCTCACATGGGCGCCGCCATGTTGCGCTGCTCACGTGACGCCGGCGGCTGCGCAGGGTCTCAAAACCTCCGCCCGTCGCTCGCAACCGTGATCCCGCTGGGGTGCCCGCCGGCAGCGCGGCGAGAAACTGATCCTGCCGGACCCGGCCCGCGGGGCGCGGTGGGTCAGGAGCCCACGCGTTTCCTGCGCGCTCCCCACGCGTTCTCCTCGCCTCGCCCGCGCGTTTTCTGCGTCCCCGCCCCTCGAACTCTGCGCGGGCAGCGGGAGGCGGGGGTGGATGATTCGGCGCTCGGCTGATCGCGCAGGCGCGGGCGGCGCGCTCGGCGCTCGGCTGGTCGCGCCTGCCGCACAATGAATGGCCGCTGAGCGCGGCGGCACCGGGAGCGGCACCGGGAGCGGCCGCGGCCCCAGCGCAGCGCCCCCGGTAAGCCGGGGACCCCCGGCCCCGCCCCCAGCCCGCCCCCCGCCCCCTTGCACTGGCTCCCCGCCGCCGCTTCCTTCCTGCACCGGGCCCGGTGAACCTCCCCCACCCCCGCCGGTTTCCCCGGGCCTGCGGCGCCTCCCGCGCTGGGGATCCCCCGGTTCTCCCGGGATGCCGCCGCTTCCGCTCCCGGGAATGGGGGGGCTGCTGTGTCCGTGCCCCCTCCCTGCGGGGATTGGGGTCCCCCTGCTGCGGACCCCCCTGGGTTGGGGGTTTAAGGACCCCCCCCCTCCCCAGAAAAAAAATTTGGGATCCCCCCGTTGTGACCTCGGAGGGTTCGGGGGTCCTGTCCCCTCCTCTGCGGGAGGCTGGGGGTCTCCTCTGTCCCCAGCCCAGAGAGTGAGGTCCCTTTTGATGCCCCCTCCCCGTGTTTTTGGGGTCTCTCTGCTCCTCTTCCTCCCCCAGCTGGGGGATTCACGCCACCCCACCAGAATTTGGGGCTCCCCGGACTGGGGGATCCCCCCCAGTTTCCCCTCTGAGGGCTGGAAGAGTTCCCCCCATGCTCCCCTAGGCCCCCGATCAAGCTTGGGGGTCTCCATTCTCCCCCAATTTGGGGATGTTTCCCCCCAAACCCTGCGGCCCACCTGTCCTTTACCACCCCCCTGGGGGTCCCAGGCCCCCCCCCCCCAAAATGTCCCAGAGCTGCGGACCCCTCAGAACCCCCTTGGGCTGGCAGGGACCCCCTCTCCTGGGGGGGTTCTGAGAGGGGTTAAGGAGGAGGATTTGGGGTGACCCCGGGCTGGGGACTTTGTTTGACTCCTGTCCTTCCTCTGTCCCCCCGTGTCCCTGCCCTGTCCCTCCTCGTGTCCCTGCCCTGTTCCTCTGTCCCTGTTCTTTCGTGTCCCCCCGATTCCGTGTGTCCATCTCACTCTCTGTCCCCATTCCCTGTCCCCCCGTGTCCCCCACATCCTGTACCTCTGTCCCCACACCCCAATGTCCCCTGATATCCCCCCCATTCCCCATCCCCACACCCCAATGTCCCCTGTCCCTGCCCCCCAACGCCCCCCATTGCCCCCGCAGCCCCCGCCCGGCCCCCGCCATGGCGCAGACGCTGCAGATGGAGATCCCCAATTTCGGCAACAGCATCCTGGAGTGCTTGAATGAGCAGCGCCTGCAGGGGCTCTTCTGCGACGTCTCCGTGGTGGTCAAGGGCCACGCTTTCAAAGCCCACCGGGCCGTGCTGGCTGCCAGCAGCTCCTACTTCCGAGACCTGTTCCACAGCTCCAAGAGCGCCGTGGTGGAGCTGCCGGCGGCCGTGCAGCCCCAGTCCTTCCAGCAGATCCTCAGCTTCTGCTACACCGGCCGCCTCAGCATGAACGTGGGTGACCAGTTCCTGCTCATGTACACGGCCGGCTTCCTGCAGATCCAGGAGATCATGGAGAAAGGCACCGAGTTCTTCCTCAAGGTCAGCTCGCCCAGCTGCGACTCGCAGGGCCTGCACGGCGACGACACGCCGGGCTCGGAGCCGCAGAGCCCGGTGGCGCAGACGTCGGCGGCGCAGGGCTGGGCGGCCGCGCTGCCCTTGGTGTCGCGGGTCAAGACGGAGCAGGGCGAGCCCGACGGCGTGCAGTGCACCTTCGTGGTCAAACGCCTCTGGGACGGCGCCGCCAAGGACGCCGGCGGCAACGGCAGCCGGAAAATGGCCAAATTCTCCGAGGCGGCGCCGCGCCCGCCGCAGCCGCCCGGTACCGGTACCGGTGCTGGTGGCGGCGGCGCAGCCCCGGCCCCGGCGCCCGCCCCGGCGCCCGGCACGGCCGCAGACCAGACCAGCCCCGGGGGCACGTCCAGCGCCTACACCAGCGACAGCCCCGGCTCGTTCCATAACGAGGAGGATGAGGAGGAGGACGCGGGCGAGGAAGGCTCAGACGAGCAGTACCGGCAGATCTGTAACATGTACACCATGTACAGCATGATGAACGTGGGGCCTGCAGGTGAGGGGGTGTGGCTCTGGGGAGGCCCCGCCCTGTTTGGGGTGTGGTTAGAGTGTGGGCGTGGCCTGGAGGGGGTCTCTGTGCCCCCCTTTTAGGGTGTCACCCCCCCCAGGAGCCTCAAGGGGGGCACCTGTGACCCTGCAGGGGTGGTTCCAACACTCCAGGGACTACCCAAAAGAGCTGCCCCTCCCCAGACATCCCCCGCCCCCAGCGCCTGGGGGTCCATCTCCATGTCCCCGTGTCCCCCCGTGCCCCCCTCAGCCGCAGAGAAGGTGGAGGCCCTGCCCGAGCAGCCCCCCCCAGAGCCCCGGGCCCGTGCCCGCCTGCGCCAGGACCTGGCGTCGCTGCCAGCCGAGCTCGTCACCCAGATCGGCAACCGCTGCCACCCCAAGCTCTACGACGAGGGCGACCCCGCCGAGAAGCTGGAGCTCGTCACCGGTACGGCGGTGGGGCAGGGTGGGGGGAGATCCCCGCGGAGTTTCGGGGGTCCCTGCTGACCCCCCGTGTGCCCCCTCCCCAGGCACCAACGTGTACATCACACGGGCGCAGCTGATGAACTGCCACGTCAGCGCGGGCACGCGGCACAAGGTGCTGCTGCGCCGCCTGCTCGCCTCCTTCTTTGACCGGTGAGCGGCCCCCCGCCCCAAGCTGGGGTCTGGAAGCGTTTTGGGGTTTTTTTGGGGGGGGTTCAGCTCGGGTTTTGTGCCCCCTTGCAGGAACACACTGGCCAACAGCTGCGGGACCGGGATCCGCTCGTCCACCAACGACCCCAGCAGGAAGCCGCTGGACAGCCGGGTGCTACACGCGGTCAAGTGTGAGTGGGGGGCACGGGGGGATCCCCCGGGGGCTGGGGGGGCTCTGACCGGGCAGGAGGGGGTGGAAGGGGAGAGGGGATGGCGGGGAATGGGGGTAAAGAACAGGGAGGGGATAAGGGGGACAGGAGGGACACCAGCGAGGGGACAGAGTGGGACAGGAGCAACGTCAGGGAGGGGACAAGGTGGGATGGGAGGGACTCCAGAGAGGGCAGAGAAGCACCCCAGAGGAGCACTAAGGTGACACCACCGAGGCACTGCCCCACGTTTCCCACCCAACCCAAACTCGGGGGTCCCTGGCACGTGAGGCCCCATCCTCACGTGTGTGTCTCCGCCCCCCACCCCAGTTTACTGCCAGAACTTCGCTCCCAACTTCAAGGAGAGCGAGATGAACGCCATCGCGGCCGACATGTGCACCAACGCGCGGCGCGTGGTGCGCAAGAGCTGGATCCCCAAGCTGAAGCTGCTGATGGCCGAGGGCGACTCCTACACCTCCTTCATCAACGACACCGGCAAGCTGGAGCCTGACATCATGGGCCCCGAGCCCCCCTTCGAGGCGGGAGGCCCCGAGCCCGAGGGGGGGCCTGCAGGGGAGGGGCTGCAGTGACCCCCCAGCCCCGAGCCCGCCCTCGGGGATGTGCCCCGAGCAGGGTGGGAACTCAACCCTAAACTGGGGGTGCAGAGCGATGCCCCCACCCCACCCCCAGTAGGAGTAGGGACCCCCCCAGACAGGGCCACCCCCCAGTGAGGGCGTAGGGACCCCCCCAGGACCCTCCAGTGAGGACCCTGAGAGGATGAAGGGATCCCCCCCCGCCCTGGGGACCCCCGCCCCCCCCCCACAAAAAGGGGGCAGGGTCCCACCAGCAAGGGACCCGTGTGGTTTAGGGACCCCCCCCAACCCAGATGGGCACTCCCAGGGGCAGGGACCCCCCCCGAAGTGACCCCTCAGGGGCAGGGACCCCACAGCAAGGCCCCGGTGGGTCCTGTCCCACCCTCCCCCTCCAGATTTTGGGGTTGTTTTTTTTTGGGGGGGGGGGGGGGTGGCAGCCTCTCGGCACAAGCGCAGCTGCCCCCCTCCCCCCCGCCACTATTCGGGGGTGGGGCCTGGGGTCTTGTGCCCCCCCAGGACCCCCCCACGCGCACCCCCTGCATTCCCCTCCAGGGCCACAGTCCCTGCAGGCACCCGCATGTGTGTCCCCCCGTGTCCCCTCTGTCCCGTGTCCCCCCTGACCCCCAGGGACCCCCATCGCTCTGGGCAGCCCCCCCGCATGTGTCCCTCCCCCCCTGGGGCTGGAGTGTCCCCAGGTGACCTCTGCCCCCCCCCCACGTCACCTGTCCGTGTGTGTCCCCAGGTGTGTGTCACAAGGGGGGGGCGTCACCTGTCTGTGTTCCCCCACCACCACAAAGGAGCCAGGACTGCCAAATTGGGAGGGGCCCACTTATTGCTCCCCCCCCCTCACTGGGGTCTGTCCTCGGGGGGGGGGACACTGTGTGTGACCCGGGGCGGGGAGGGATAGGGGCACCGTGGGTGGGGGGACACAGGGACCCCCCCTCTCCCCCATCAGGGCTTTGCTCCGGCTTCGCTCCGAAGGGGAAACTGAGGCACAGTTTGGTGAGAACCCCCCCAGGAGTGGGGGGGACGGGGGGGGTGTCACCAGGAGCCTCCCCCCTCCCACTCAGCCTTGGGGGGGGCCGGGAGGTGTCCCAGGTGTCCTCCCCGACCATCCCCCCCAGGTCTCCTGACTTTTGGTCAAGTGCCTTACCTGCCCCTCCCCCGGGCTCCCTCCGCGTCCCCGCTGCCCCCCCAGCACGGGGTGGGGGCACAGGGACCCCCTCCCAAACCCAAGCCTCCCCCCGCCCCCACCTGGGTTCCCCCTTCTCCTCTCTCACCCCTGTGCCTCAGTTTCCCCTTTTTTCTGATGAGTTCTGCCGGCGCCTGGGGGGGGGAGGAGGGGTCTCTTTGCTGTCCCCCTCTACCCCCCCAAAAAACGGGGTCCAGCTCTTTGTTCGCCCCTTTCTCTTCTCTTTGCTATACAGAATTTGAGGGGGGGGGGGCGCAGCGGCGACTCGGCAGTATGGACCCCCCCCCCCCCAAAACCGTGCTTGGCTTCCCCCGGGGACCCCCCCTTCAGTGTCTGTCCTGTGTAATGAAGTGCCAAGACCACCCATCCCCACCCCCTCTCCCCGGACACCCACCAGGGGCCCTTCTGGAGTGCCCCCAGACCCACCAGGACCCCCCCCACCCCCAAAAAAAAACCCGGGATCGCCCCCCCCCCCCCCCCGAGCCCCCCGACGCTGGAGGTTGCACATGAACTGCTGTTGGGCGCGAGGGAGCGTGTGAATAGTGAAAATAAACACAGAGTTTGTAACAGCCGCGGCCGCCGAGCCCCAAAAACGGCCCCGGGATGGGGGGGTGGAGGGGGGGAATGGGGGGCGCGCAAGGCTGGCCCCGCCCCTATCGCCCTTATTTGGGCATGCGGAAGCGGAGAGCCCCGCCCCTTTCCCGCCGGGCTCCGCCCCTTCCCGTGACGTCAGTGTTGTCCTTATATGGGCATGGAAGCGGGGGGCGGGGATCCCCGTGTGAGTTCCGGGGGGACACAGGGGACCCCCAGACACACGGGAGGGGACACAGGGGACCCCCAGAGACAGGGGAGGGGGCACAGGGGACCCTCAGACACAGGGGAGGGGCACATGGGAGGGGGCACAGGGGACCCCCAGACACACGGAAGGGGGCACAGGGAGCCCCAGACACAGGGGAGGGGGCACAGGGACCCCCAGACACAGGGGACCCCCAGACACAGGGGAGGGGACACAGGGACCCCCAGACACAGGGGAGGGGGCACAGGGACCCCCAGACACAGGGGAGGGGCACAGGGGACCCCCAGACACAGGGGAGGGGGCACAGGGACCTCCAGACACAGGGGAGGGGGCACAGGGACCCCCGCAAACACATGGGGGGGACACAGGGATCCCTCAAGCACAGGGGATATCCCCGATCCACGGGGGTCCCCCCACCTCAGAGTGCGGGGGGGGACACAGGACCCCCCCCCCAGCCCATGGCGGGGAGCGCACGGACCCCCCAAACCACGGGGAGGACCCCACCTCGGGGGTCCCTGACCTTAATCCCCTCCCCAGTTTTCACGGGGACCCCAAATCCATGTGGGGGGATACAGAGACCCCCTCCCACTCCACGGGAATTCCAGCTCCCCTTGGAGCACGGAGCCCCCCCGGACCCGTTTCCGTCCCCGGCGCCACCGAGACGCGGCTGAGCCGCCGCGGGGCCGGATGCGGTGGCGGAGGCGGGGGGGGGCCCGGGGCGGTCCCGGGGCCGGATGCGGTGGCGGGGGGGCCGCGGGGGGGTCAGGCCGGTACAAGAAGCGCGGCGGGGCCGTCCCGGAGCACTCGGAGCGAGGACGCGATGGAGGAGGCGCAGCGGCTGCTGACGGTGTCGGTGTGGAAGCTGTACCGGTGCCGGCTGCGGCGGGGCGGGCTCCGCCTGCACCGGAGCCTGCAGCTCTCGCTGCTCGTCCGCGCCGCTCGCCACCGCTACCTGAGCGCCCGAGCCGCCGCCGAGACCCTCCCGGGGCCGGAGCCTGCCGGGGCTGCGGCGGGCGGAGCGACCCCCGAAGCGGGCAGCGACCCGAGCGGAGACCCCCGGTGCCCGAACACACCGAGCGCGGACAGACTGAGTCCCTGCAGCCACCGGACCGACCCGAGCGGAGACCCCCGGTGCCCGAACACACCGAGCGCGGACAGACCGAGTCCCTGGAGCCCCCGGACCGACCCGAGCGGAGAACTCCGGTGCCCGAACACACCGAGCGCGGACAGACCGAGCCCCCGGACCGAGCAGGAACGAGGGAACCCCCTCAGGCACTGGAGCGGCGACCACCCGACCCTACCGAGCGGAGCCCGCCGCAGTGAACGGCACCGGGGATGCCTCCCCGGCCGACCGACCGAGGACTCCCCGAGCCCCCCAGCCGGTGACAGCCCGGCCCCACCGACCGCGGAGCTCCGTCCCGCCCCGGACCCCGCCAACCGGGACCGGGACCTCCTCCCGACCGCGGACCCCCGTGCCGCTCGGGACCCCGCGAACTGGGACCCCCCGAGCGCTGCCCCCGGCCCTCCCCGGCCCACCGGAGCTCCCCGGGCCGGGCAGAAGCGGCGCAGCAGCGGCTCGGCGGGACCGGGCCGGGGGCCGGTACCGAGCAAACGGGCGCGGCTCGAGGCGGAAGCGCCGCCGCTGCCCCCGGGGCCGCCCGGGCGCTGCTCGGGGCCGCCCGCAGCCGCCTTCGGCTTCCTGGTCCGCGCTGTCGGGGCGTGCTGAGCCCTCCGCGGACCCCTGGACGCACGGACATTAACGGGGCTCCACCCCGGACACGCGGATCCGGTTCTGGAACGCCCCGGGACACACGGAACTTAACGGGGTTCCCCCCCGGACACGCGGATCCGGTTCTGGAACGCCCCGGGGCTCACGGAACTTAACGGGGATCCCCCCCGGACACGCGGATCCGGTTCTGGAACGCCCCGGGGCTCACGGAACTTAACGGGGATCCCCCCCGGACACGCGGATCCGGTTCTGGAACGCCCCGGGGCTCACGGAACTTAACGGGGATCTCCCCCGGACACGCAGATCCGGTTCTGGAACGCCCCGGGGCTCACGGAACTTAACGGGGATCTTCCCCGGACACGCGGATCCGGTTCTGGAATCCCCCGGACACGCGGAACCAGAACGGGGAGCCTCCAGACTGGTGCGGACCGCTCCGGTGGAACGGAACGGGACACGAACGGACTCTCGGGGCTCCCGGTGGGGCACTCCCTCCCGTCCCGGGGACCATCGCGCTTGGAGGGGGTGCTCCAGGCTGGCCCTGCCCTCACCCCCTCCTTAATTGTGGTTAATTATTATTTTGTTAATCAAATAAAAGTGGGTTTTGTGCAGCCGATGCCTCGAGGGAGTTTTTTGGGGGGGTGGGGGTTCGTTGTGTCCCCGTGACCCCTCCTCGATTTCGGGGGAGGGGAACAGCGGGAATTTGGGGTTTGGGGGCGTTCAGGGGATCCTCTGCTGGGTCGGGGCGGCTCGGTCCGAACCGGGGGGGGCGGATCCGGACCCCTGGGCCCCCCCTCGCCCCTTCCTGCTTCGGTTTCCCGCCCGAGCGGGACACGGGGGTGGGGGGGGAATATCCGGCACCTGCCGCGGGGGCGGGGAGACCACCCGGGAAACCCCCCCCGGTCCGCTGGAAGCTCCAGGCTCTCCCCGCGCGGGGTGGGGAGGGGCGGCGCGGAGTTACCGGGGGGTCACGGGGGGCTCCGGGCCCGCATGGGTTCGTGTGTGTGTCCCCCCCCCCCCCCCCCCCCGCTGTCCCTCCCACCCCGATCCCGGGAAGGAGCGAGACGGGCTCGATCCAAAATTCCTTTTTTTTTTAATGGTTCTGGTTTGGGACTTTTCGGGTTAGGGTTCGGTTCGGTTTTGTTGGGGTTTTTTTTTCTTTTTTTTTTTCTTTTTTTTTGCCTTTGATCTTTTATTTCTGGTTTCGGTTACTCGGTTCATGCAATGGCGGCGGCCCCGGTTCTGCCGCCTCCGTGCCTCGGGCGGGGTGGGGGGGCCGGTGCCCGTTCCCGGTGTTCCCGGTGCCCGTTCCCGCCGTTCCCGGTGGCGGTACCCGGTACCCGGTGCCCGTCCCGGAGCCTCCCGGGCTCCGCTCCCGTCCCGGCGGCTCCTCCCGGCCGGGGGCTCCCCCGGGAGCTTCGAGGGGTCCCGGGGAGTCTCGGGGGTCCCCGGGGCCGCCCCCCCCCCCGCGGCGGCGGCGGCGGCGGCGGCTCCTCCAGATGATAAAACTCATCCAAAACCCCGGGAGCGGGCGGGGGGGGGTGCGGTGCGGGTGGCGACTTCCACCCCCCTGGCCGCGACACGTGGCGGAGCGCCCTGTCGCGATATGTCGGCTACGTGCGCGCCCTGTCGCGACACGTCGTGGGAGGCGCCGCTAGCAGCAGTCATCGTCCGTCTCGCTGTAGGGGTCGCGGAGGCCGGGCCGCCCCTTCCCGGCGCCGTGGCCCGGGTAGTACCCGTTCGGCAGCCGCCGGGCGGGCCGGGGGGGCGACGGGCCGCCCCCACCGGGGGTGCCGCTGCCGCGGGGGGCGCGGGGGGCGCGTCCGTCGAGTGGCATCGGCGGCGGCTCCGCGTCGCGGTGGGGCCCGCGGGGGGGCTGGGCCAGCGGCGGCGGGCGGGCGGCGGGGCGGGGGTCGGCGGGCGGCGGCGGGCGGCGGGGGCCGCGGGCGGGGGGCGGCGCGGCGGGCGGGGGGCGGCGGGCGGCGGGCGAGTAGGAGACGTGGGGCCGCGGCGTGGCGGGGGTCGGCGGGAGCTGGCGGCGGGCGCGGCGCGGGGTGCTGGTCCCGGAGGTGGAGAGCACCGGGCTGCCGCTGACCGAGCTGCTGCCCTGCAGCGACAGCGACACGGGGAGGTGGCGGCGGGGGCGGGGAGGGGACACACGGACAGCGGGGAGGGGACACACGGACAGCGGGGAGGGGACGCGGGGACGCGGACACACGGACACGGGGCGGGGGCAGGAAGGGAAACGGGGACCCGGGGGTGTCGCAGCCACGGCGGGGGGGGACACAGCCACGAGCCGTGCAGGCACGGGGAGGGGGACAAAGGAGAGCAGAAGGGACAGAAGTGACACGGGGGTCGCGGGCGGGACGCGGGTGCGCCGGGTCCCCCCAAAAGCACTCGCAAGGCAAAGCTCGGGGTCCGGGGTGGGCAGCGGGGGGGGGGGGTGGGGGCATGGAGGAAGCGGGGGGGGCTGGAGAAGTTTGGAAGAGTCATCCCGAAGTGGGAGCGCTGTACCCCAAATCTGGGGGGCGTTATCCCCCAATGGTTCCGTGCGGGGAACAATCCGCTTTTTGGGGGGGCCCGTGAGCCCCCGATGCCAGGCTGGGATCGGGGGTCTGGGGACCGTCACCCCCAATTCGGGCATCTGGGGGGGGTCCGTGCTCTCTGAATGGGGGTGCTGCGGACCCCAGACCCATCTCAGGATGTGGGGGAGCCGTGTAGCCCACCCTCGTTAGGGTGAGGGGGGGGGTCTGCGCACCCCCAAACCTCAGAACAGGCTCTGTGCCCCCCCAGACTATAGTGGAGCCCCCAAACCCAGGTGGGGAGGGGGCTTGAGACCGCTTATTCAGGGGTGCACCCCAAAAGAGGGGTGTGAGGGGTCCCTGCAGCCTAGTGCAAGCCTGGAGGGGTCCCTGTACCCCAATTTTGGTCTGGGGGAGTTCCGGGGTCCTTCTGGGGGGGGATAAATGGGAAGATGTAGGGGGGGGTCACCCCAAATCATCCCAGGGTGGCAAAGCAGCTCCTCCCGGAGTCACAGACGGATTTTTTTGGGGGGAGGGGTGGGGGGGTGGCAGCTTCATTCCAAACTTTCCAGGGTGGCCGGAGCCTGGAGGGGCCGGAGCAGATTTTGGGGGGCCCCGAGCCGCTTACCTGGGCCACCCCTCGCCGTGACAGCGCAGCCAAAGCACAGCGATGGGGAAACAGAGAGGTGAATCAAGGCAGGGCCCCCCCAAGCAGCCGGGGGGGCCGGGGGGGCCAAGCGAGGGGGGGCTCTGTGCAGGGCGGGGGGTGCGGGAGGGGCCGAGAGCAGGGAGGGGAGGGGGCGCATCTGGAGGGGTCGAAGCGTCGCCGCTGCCCCCCCCCCCACCCAGCCCATCACCATCCCCAAATTCTTTTTTGGGGGGATCCTCTCCACTCCATCACCCCCCCCATTGGGTGCTGCCCCTCCTGGGGGGGGGGGGTGGACTCCCAAAGTCGGGGCTGAGCCCCCAAGCCGGGGGGTCTGGAACCCCCAGGATGGGCACTGGATCCCCTAAGGAATGGGGGGCTGGACCCCCAAGGTGAGCACTGAAGCCCCCAAGGCTGGGGGGGGGGCTGGACCCCCCCATGTTGGAGCGCTGAGGGGGCTCTGCTGGTGTAACTGGGACGCCACCAGTACCGAACTGGGGCAGGCAGAACGGGCGGGGAGGGGGGGCGTCCCACAGCCCCCCCTCCCCCCCCAGCCTGAGCAGCACCCATAGGGGATTGGGAGGGGGGGGTGGTCTTTGGTTGAAGACAGCGGGGGTGCAGCCCTTGTCCCCCCCAAAGGCGGGGGGGGGTCCTAGAGGCGGAGGGGGGGGGAGCGGAGGGGGGCACCCACCTGGCGGGGGGCCGCGTGTTCCCGGCCCTCGCTGGGCGAGCGGGACCAGCGGCGGTCCCGGGAGCGGGGCCGCCCGTAGTCGTGGCGCTCGGGGGGGGGCACGCAGCGGTCGCGGTCCCCCCCGGCGCCCCCCCCCGTGGTGGTGGTGGTGGTGATGGTGGTGGTGGTGCCGGTGCCGCCGGTCCTTGGGCCGCCCCCGCTCGGGGTCCCGCTCCTTTGGGGGGGCGTCCCCCGACTGCGTGGTGACACTCAGGTCCGTGCCCAGCCCTGGAGAAGGGGGGGGGGGTCAGGAGGGGGCGTGGGGGGACCCCCGAGGTGTGGGTTTGGGGGATTTTGGGAATCCTTGGGGATTTGAGAAGTTCTCGTTGGATTTGGGGATTTTTTAGGGGGTAGGGGTGGGAATTGCATTGGATGTTGGGGTTCTGCTGGGAACTGGGGGGTCCTCTGGGGTGTGGGGTCACTTATGGGGGTTTTGGGGTCCTTGTGGGGGGGCCTTGAGGCGGTTTTTGCGGGGGTTTGATGTTCTTGGGGGATTTTAGGAGTCTTTGGGAGATTTTTTGAGTTCTGGTGGGATTTGGGGGTTTTTACGGCATTTTTTGGGGTCCCCAAGGATCTGGGGGCGCCCAGTGGATTTTGGGGGACAGCAGACGGTGACTGAGGTGACACCAGCGGCCGGAAAAGACCCGGTGGCCTCGGGCCAGGAGCCAAAGTCACCTGGCCACCGGTCACGGGTGGACTTGGCTACAGCCAGGACGGAGCGGGGCCACGTCCCCACGCAGGGGACGCGCGGGGATCGCACCTGTGTCGCCGTCGGTGTAGCGGCTGAGGGAGCGCTCGGAGGCGCGGTGGCCGCGGTGGCCGCGGCGAGGGTGGTGGCGCTGGCCGTCCTCGGCGGGCGGGACCCGCTCCAGGGAGAAATCGTCCAGGCGAACGCCGCGGGCGCGGGAGTGACCCAGCAGCGAGGCCGAGCGCTTCATGGGGCTCGAGTCCGCGATGGTCTGCGGGACACGGGCCGGGGGCGTCACCGGGGCAGGGCGGGGGCGCCGGGAGGGACAGCGGAGCCGGGGGGCTCGGGGGGCTTACCGGGAGGGGGGGGTTGCAGAGGGAGCGTGGCCTGGGGGGGTTACCTGAGGGGGGTGGGGTCACCTGTGTGCTCCGAGCCCTCCGGAGCGTCGCTGGCCCAGATCCCTCCGGTCCGTCCGTCCATCCCACATCCATCCGTCTGTCCGTCCATCCGTCCTCCCCTCCCTTCCCCATCCCTCCTCCGGACACGGCAGCTGACCGCTGTCCCCTCCCAGGGCTGTCCCTTCCAGGGCTGTCCCCCTCCAGGGCTGTCCCTTCCAGGTCTGTCCCCTCCAGGGCTGTCCCCACGGCCCCCGGATCCGTCCCTACGCCCCCCGCCCTCGCCCCCGGTGGGACGCAGGCGGTGTTCCCCGTTGTCACTCACACTGTCCCCATTGTCACCGTGTTCCCACGGCCCTGGGGTGGCTCCCCAGGACAGATCCGCCCCCCCCTCCCCGGCCTGCTGCTCTAAGCATTGAGCTGCTGCTGAGTGAGATCGGGGGGAGCAGAGGGACACGGACAGGGGACAGGGACAGGGACAAGGACAGGGACACGGACAGGGGGACAGGGACAGGGAGAGGGGACAGGGAGAGGGACAAGGACAAGGGGACGGGGCAGGGAGAGGGACAGGGAGAGGGACAAGGGGACAGGGAGACAGGGACAAGGACAAGGGGACAGGGACAGGGAGAG